TAAGAAATACATGCAAGGTAAGATGCTGTGGACAGTTATACTGATGGGCCACTCAAAAAGTGAAGTATTCTGCAGTAAATGAAGTCACCCATCCCTTCCTTTAAGACCAGACTTTACATAAAGATAAAATCATTTTCACGTCTCAGTATGTTTTCTGTTTAAGTTAGTTTTATAAATGAGCCCCCAAATCTGTTCCTAATAGAGAACAGATCTCCTGAGCCTCCTGCATGTACAGCCACACTGCTTCTCTGCCCCCTACCTTTGGCCTTTGGCTATCGCGCATCATAATTTGGGCTTCCCATTTGCTCCCGTATGAACAATTGCAAAGTGTGAGACAGGAGGAATGCAGGGCTATTTTGGGCATGAAACATCAGATGTTGTGGTTTTGAGGCAGGCTAGAGGAGGGGTCTGCGTGTTTCCCCTGGCTGTCTGTCTAGTCTTAGCTGACTGCTCATTGTGAGTGGGTGTCTATGTGCAGCTCGCTTCAGAAAGGAAAAGAGGTCTCTCTTCTAATGTCGCCAAGCATGATGACACCTACAGTAGTCAGTAGAATCTGTGTTCATGTTGTTATTTCTGTCTTTCTCCCTCCAGGTGTTCAAACATAATCTTGGACTTCGTTTCCAGCCTTTTCTTGTCTGGCTGATTCATTCTGTGGTAATGCAGGGAGGGGAAAAAAGCACTCAGATCTTTTTTTGTTTTTTATTGGACTACATCATACTACTTAAAGTACTTTATGCTCTCAAATTCTAATGCATTAGAAGGTTTTTTTTTATATGGCAACTAAAGTGCATTACCTATGTCATTCTGTTTGTACTTTAAGATTATTACCCAGTTCTGGCCCCGGTACGTCCGAACAGGAAATGGAAGAAACGTCACAAAGTGAGGCAGCCAGAGCAGAGGTGGGCCACATCTGGAAATCCGCTCACATGATTGGAAATTGTGAATGGATAAGATGTTCGTATGAAATCACAGGGCCATGGAAAGTCCCGATTATTTCCTTGGAATACATGTTTAATGTACAATTTTTTAAAGTCCGAGAGTTAGTTAGTTTCCTGTCTGAGTCTAATTACGTATAAAGAAGCTCTTCACTCAGCAACTTAATTAGCTTTATTTTAGTGCTGAACTATGTATAAAGGTTACTTCCTGGCTGTCTTCTGTCTCAGATGTCAATCTGTTTGTCTCACTCATTGATTTAGCCACATACTAGAAGGTTAGATAGTCATGAAACAGAAATTTATCACCCTGATGATGCCAGTGCGCAGCCTTGAGAGCCAGCGTGATTCATCGCTACTGATTGCCGACAGTTTATGTCATGGTTTTCCCCGAGCTCAGCTGTCTACGTGTTTCCATTTCCTTGATCCACTGGAATAACATCTGGAGCCTTTGAAAGCACACTTTTCTTTTGTTTGCCTAAATGAAGCCTTTCCCACATTGCTTTTCAGCATGTTTTAAATACATCATGTTGAAAGACTGTAAAAAGTCAGCTTTGTGTAATCTGACCGAATAGAGAGAAAACACTGAAAACGAAGCAAATTACAAAACGGTAGTTAGTTCTTTAAGAGGACATCTTGACGTGAGAGGATTCAGACTCAGTGCAGCTTCATGCTAAAACATTTGCTGACTTGTGTATGAACGAGCTGTCGTGGGCAGAGCTGGGTAGGAGGGTTGGGCACAAGGAGTAGTAAAGAAAAACTGGGGGTGTCTGTTGGAATCTGCCACAGAAAGGGGTGGGTTTAAGGTTAGATTTAGTGTTGAGACAGGCACATGGTGGTTGGGGGTGGGGGGGTGTAGCTGGGAAGAGAAAAGAGAAAGAAGGAGCTGTGGACTGTAGCTCAAACTGCCAGCTGTGCTCAGAGAGAGCAGGAATGTGGCTCGGCACAGGAATGAAGATGCTCTAACAAGCTGAAACACACTTAAGAATTGATCAATGTGTGATCTACACCCAGCCGAATGATGAAAATATCTCGTGAGTACACAACAATTTGTTTTACTGGAGGGAAACTCCGTGTTTGAGAATATTAGAGTTCTTGCATCACAGCATGACAAGGAAATGAATGCTGATGAAGCTTTGCTCTGCTTGCAGGATAAAATAAGCTGTTCTTGTTGGGGCTTATTATTTTTGTCAAGGGTTTGTTTATGTTTTTCTTCGTCACTATGCTATGTGTCATACCTATATTGTACGTTATATAATCAGTCATTGTTCTTTTTTTAGAACGTTGCATAAAACTGAATTGTAAAGGAAGGAGTAGACTGTTCCATAGATACTCCACACACACACAGCTTTGGACACTCTGCTATTGTGTTGTGGCAAAACTGGGTTTCATTTCTTTGTGAAATTGTAACTCTACACTGTACCCAGCGTTCAGGCTCCGGGTCGTAGAGAGCAAACACAAGTTCTCATTCTTTGGCATCGTGCCCACCCGTCCTTTTATCCACATGAGATTTCCTTAGAGAGAGGATGAGAGGACAGAGTGTCTCACTATCATGTTTCAGGATGCAAAACAGAGGAATTCCCAGCTCATATTACTTTTCTCTCAGCGGTCCAACCTGAGGCTGTGGGACACAAGAGGGCCCGGCAGGGCTCTCACTATGTGCCGCAGCTGAATAAAGCAGGCCTGATATTATTCACCTGGGAGGGAGGTCTAGTTGAGAAGAAAGCTTGTGCTGATGTAGGTGGGAACAGAGCAGAGTGACTCCTGGCACCGTACACATGTTGACTTAACTGCTGGTTAAGGGGGTAAACAGTGGCTTTTCTGACATCCAAGGACACGGGGAGCTGTTAATATTTATTCAGTTGCTGCTCTGCCGACCACAGTCAGTTTTTGTTGATTTCTGGGTTAAGCAGAAGTGCAGCAGCACAGGTGAGTCATAATTTATCATTAAAACGATGTATGCCAGCAGAAGTGTAATGTAGTGTGCGGCTGTGGTTCATGCAGCTTTGGTGCGTCAAAAAGAAAGTGAGATCTCACACGTGCGATCTGTTTGTCACCTGTGTGCGCCACTGATGTGTTCGTTTGCCTGAATGTAATGTTTTCTGTCTTTCCAGCGATTCAGATTCTTTACATAGTGGAAACTTGTTTAACCACCGATGTGTGGTACAACATTTTTAGCTGTGGGGCTTTAAAAAACACTGGCCCTGGTAAAAAATATATTGTAATGTAGCTGCAGAATGACTGTTTTTTTAGAAATTTGATTTGTTTGTTAATCTTTATTTCTTTTTAATCAGCGTGAAGGCTAATATTTTGTATAGGCTGGAATTATTTTGACGGTTTCTCAACTGGTTTGTGTTTTCTCCAGTTTGACATGTTAATTAAATATAGTAGGTTTTGTTTTTTTGTCCAGAACAGCTAAAATCAGAAAGTAATTATGTAACAAGACTGAAATCTGAAATCTGTGCTGTTGATCTCGAAATGACCTAAAAAATAACTACTTTTAATCAAAAACTGACGAGTGTCTCCCAAAATAATTGTATCTATTGTTTCTTTCTTAAAGAAACATGGATGGATCGAACAGACAAATTGCAATTTACATTGTTTTAACCGTTATAAGTTTTCTTAATTGAAAGCAGCCTGTGCGTTGAATCACTGGTGTGTCAGACATCACGTCTCGCGGAGGCGGTAAATGGCTCCAAGCTCGATTAGCATTAATGGAAAGGTGCCAGCAGTCTGTTTCCCCTGTAGGTCAGCAGAACCGGTTTATGATCCTGGCTGCAGGGTCGCTTCTCTTTCAGGTGTTCACCTGCTCTGAGTCACAAACAGGCCCGGTAAAGATTTCATCCTAATTAACTATTTTGCATCATTTCTTTTCGCCCGCCACTGAAAGGCGTAGGTGGACAATAATGTGTTTTGCCCGTGACTCGTGAACCACGGGATGAGTTTTAAGAAAATGTGTAGAAACTAATCATTTGATGTCCTGATTCAAGATGGCTGCCACAGCCAATTGACTTCAAATGAAATCAGTCACTTTTAAAGATATTGAACTAAAATTTGATCAAAATCTGAGACAGACCCAGAAAAACTTATTTTGAATCTAATGAATTTGTAGAAAAACCTGGTTTTAAATTCTGACTACATCTGGAGTAAACATTGTCTGTTAGCAAAATATCTCATAAACCACTTGACCAATTTTAATAATACTTTCAAGAGATAATAATTGGATGTTCTTCTATCTACAAGTTATAACTTTATGGAGTCAACTTGATTCAAGATGGCTGCCACAGCCAAATAACTTAAAAAAAAACACAACATGAATATAAACCAGTCTTGAAGTAAAACTTCATGTGGTCAAATCTGAGACTGAGACACAGAAGACATTTGAACTCCAACAAATTGTGGAAAAACTCGGTTTAAAATTTTTGCCTTTGACCATCTGGAGTTAACACTGTTTGTTAGCAAAGTATCTCATGAACCACTTGACAAAACTGAATGAAATTTTCAAGATATAATAAATGTGTGTGCATCTATAAGTGACTTTAGAGCCAACCCCATTCAAGATGTCTGTTACAGCCTATTGAACTTAGAAAACATACAAAAAGGCTATAATTCAGTCAATTTAAAGGATTCATGACACATACTCATGGGACATTGTAATATATAATCAGATGGCAAATAATATAATTTTCAGTTTGACCAAAATGGCTACAACTCTGTTATTTCTTAACATAAAATGACTTTAGTCGAGCTTTGACACAAAATATGGTGGGCCTATATTCATTAGTTTGAGGAATGACAGGCCTTTAATTTTGTTTTGACTAATATTAATCTCTTCAAGAATTTCCTGTTTCGAAATGATAAAACATTTCTTGCCCTTTTTTCTGTATTTATGGGACTTTTCAGCATGAAAACTACTCCAGTTCATCTCCAATAAGACGGTGCCTGTAGGATAAAAGCTGCAGAGGGGATTTGAAACTGTTTTTGGTTGATGGTAACTTTGCCAAAAATAAAAACAAACTCTGTTAATGTGGTTGATTTTCACATTTTATCTCCGTCTTTGCCTTTTAGAAATTGAAGCAAAAGAGGCGTGTGACTGGCTGCGGGCAGCAGGATTTCCCCAGTATGCTCAGCTCTTTGAAGGTAATAAAAGCACTCAAAAAACACCCACACCCCTTCATCACACGGAGAGAGCTGTTCAGTTAAAAGATAAATATTAAAAGCAGAAGTAGCTCACAGACACCAGTCTTCTGCAATAACACATTTTTTATTGTTGATCTACAGTGACATATGAGAGCGAGACTGTGGCATTTCAGTGTCATCTGGTCTGTCCCCGACATCGTCCACAAAAGCATGTATTCATGTGTTGCACACTGGGCCTTATTTACACAAAAGTTCTTGGAAAGCCTTCGAGCTAAAGCAGCAGCCAGTTCTTTTTCTAGACACCGCAAAACAAATAGAATGGATGCTTTTAAAATCTAATCTTTTCAGAGCAACGATTACTTCATAAACATGTCTCCGGTGCATAATGCCTGAAGTCATGGGAAGAAATGGGTTTTGTAAGAACTTTAAGGAGCTCCACTCCCACAGATCTTTTTGTTGTGGCCCGACTTTTGATGTGCTTTGGTGGAATATGGTTATTTTCCAACAGTTAGTGGAGTAAGGAAACTTCAGAGTGCAAAAGTGTTCTTGATGATGGTATGTGTTAAAAATGCATTAATGTGCCTTTAATAGGCAGTGAGTAACTTTGCATAAATGTTGTGGAATATTAGATTCAGCCTTTTGAGTTATGTAAGACGTTCACTGCCTGAGCAAGCCTCTGCTGCTGTTTAAACAAATTGTCTGTTATTATTACTGTCACATAAAGTTTAATTGTCTTCCTTTACATGTAGAAATAATTTGGTGTTTGGTTCTATTCACATACTCTTTGTTTGACTACAATCTTGGTGCAGTTTCAGTAAAATAACCTGTTCCAATTTTCCTGTTTTTTCCTTCAGACTCCCAGTTTCCCATTGACATCACACCCGTGAAAAGAGATCATGACTTTTTGGACAAAGATCTTGTGGAACCTCTGTGCAAGTAAGTAAATGTACAACACTGAAAAATATGGCTCTTTACCAATGAGTCAACAGTATAACACGTACTTTCCTTTGGTTAAGGAAGTGGAAATGATAAAAATAATAATAAGTAAAAAATAAATACACTTTCCGCATTATCTAATGCAACATTGTCATTTTATGTCATTAGGCGTAAAAATCTCACGCAGAAAGGAAAATGTCTAAGAATGTGTTTTGACGTTTATGACATTGACTAAACTGGTGAACCAGTACTCACTGACCATAAGTACATATTATTAGTATATCAATAGGTATCAATAGTATTGTTTGCACTATTTCTTCCCAAAAACTTCTTTAAAAAGTCTTTAGTTAATCCAAAATGTTGCTGCCAGAGTGTTAAATGGAGTTTGTAGGAGAGATCATATCCCTCCAGTTTTAGCTTCTCTCCAGTGGCTCTCTTGTCAAATTCAGAATTGAATTCAAAATCTTACTTATAACCTACAAAGCTCTCAACAACCTAGCTCCATCTTATATTACAGATCTTATTGTCCCATATTTTCTCAGACTGCAGGCTTACTTGCGGTTCTTAGAGTTGCCAAAAACAGAATGGGAGGAAGATCTTTCAGTTATCAGGCTCCTCTCTTGTGGAACCAACTTCCAGTTTCTGTCCATAAGGCTGACATATTGTCCAGTTTTACGACTGGGCTTAAGATTTCCCTTTTTGATAAATCCTATAGTTAGGGTTGGCTTGTTATGCTGCTGTAGGATTAGACTACTGGAGGACAAATTGTCCACATTTTGTAAAATTAATTGTTAAAATTGAAAAGTTTTCATTTTATACTATTTCTATCTTTACATGTGATTCTTGACCTGCCAGTAGCTATGTTTACATGTACAGATTATTTTTGATCAGATTGAAATGTTATTTGGATTACATACATACATACAGTGATGCAACATTTCTACTAGAAACTTTGAAAGAGCTCAACATTATCTGTATTGCCTGTAGCTCAATCAGGGAGTGCAGTAATGTCTCCACCGTCATTAAAACCTGTTGCAGGTCCATTTTGGGCATTCAGGTTTGTTTACGTCCATCCCGGAAGTAGAATTTCTTCTTCTGTTGTTTTTTTTAAAGACAGTTTACCACTCTGCGCATGTCAGTACTTCTGTTCAGATTAAAAGCCTGCTGCATGTCGTTGTGAATAGATTGTTCCCATGTAAAGATGCATTTGGATTATTTATGGTAATGTGAAAACATTTCCGTCTGGTCAAATAATTTTGTGCATGTAAACATGACTATTCAGATTACAAATTCATTCGGATTGAGCTGAATCAACAAAGAATAATCCGAATGGGGCGTTTACATAACGCATTTTTATTCAGAATCGCCATTTAATCCAATTACTTATGTCCATGTAAACATAGCTAGTGTTCCTCCTTCCTCTCCTCTCAAACCCAGCCAGTTGAAGCAGATGGCCACTTGTCCTGTGCCTGGTTCTGCTGGAGGTTTCTTCCTCTTGAGGGAGTTTTTCCTTTCCACTGTTGCCTTCACGCTTGCTCAAATGAGTCTGCGATTAAGTTAAACTCAAAGCAGTCTGCTCCTCAGATATATGTTAACTTACTTATATTAACTTACTTTTGATGTATATAAATGTTCCTGTTCAGTGCCCTGATATGACTTGTTGTGACTTGGCACTATATAAATAAACTGAATTGAATTGAATTGAAAGCAAAGAACAACAACAACAAAAACTACATCAAACTGACAACTGGTGCCTCCACATCATGCCATTCCAGTGCCCATGTGGATTTTTTTTCTGGTCAAGCCAAAATGAAAAAGCACTTCAGTAACTATGGCAACGATCCAAAAGGGAAAGCAGGAGAGGCATTAGTGGTGCCTCGCACCGCTCAATATACTTTGACTCTAAACAACCCTAAAGCAACTCATTGAAATTCCAAACTAGCCATGACGTGAATAGAAGACAATGGAAACAGTTCCACCTCCTGAGTGATTTTGTCCATGACTTTTCAGCATCCCTATGGTAACCTAAAAAAAAAGCCTCCTTAGTCCGTTATGCCAGTATAATCCCGTAACCAAAATAAAAACCAGCCTACATGTCATGCATGTCTTTTGTGATCAAAATAAAACCGATCGACTTTTCATACATGTAGGTGTTGTCTATGATCTCTGGATAAGCAGCCTCTTCTATTAGCAACCATATTCAAAGCTCTGTAGGCCCATGAAATCAAAGGCCCCCAGCTTAGAAATCCTCTCCTCAGTTGTGTCCTTCTATTTTCAGTACATGGGAACATTTTGTTTTTATAACCCCTGTCATCTACAGCTGGAGCCCAGTTAGAGCCTCCATCACAGCCTTGTCATAGTCTACTATTGTCAGAGCTTTAAAAAGACTTCCAGCCATGTCAGGAGCAGTTAAAGCCTGTGATTATCTTACAATAAGTTGGTTTCCTTTTTGCCTTAGTCGAGCTGTAATTTGTTTTGTCATGTTGTCGTATTTTCTCCGTACTGTGCTATCTTGGGAAATTTTGCGTTCCGTTTATATTCCACTTGTCACACTTACAAAACTCAAGTAGACTCTGAACACAGAGCGCATGCTAAAAGCTTTAGAGTTTACAGTAAATTCAGATTTTATAAATATAACTCAGCTTTGTCTCTGTGCGACTTACATAACTGAGTTAAAACAAAGTTGCATCTGTATTTAAGTTGTAAATCATTCCATCAGAGCTTATGCAGTATGTAGAGATCCACTTTACCATTTGAATCTTTAAAATCTGATTTTATCCTTTAAAGAACAGAAGCTTTGATCCAAACTCTAAAGAAAGACCATCAGATAACAAATGCCTGTGTTTATTGGGTTTTAGGTATTTATAGTAATGACAAACGGAGGTTTTCTATGGGTCTCGTTGTGCATTCAAAGCAGTAAATGATCATTTGATAGCAATCTAGTCTGCTCATTAGGAGTCTATTACTTTATCTGGTTTGTTGAGAACTGTTTTTATCTTTGGGATATTTCTCTTGCAGGCGGCTGAACACTCTGAACAAATGTGCTTCTATGAAGCTTGACGTGAATCTTCCAAAGAAAAAAGTAAGTAATAAAACTTGATATATTATTGTTGGATCATTAGCTGTTTTTCTTGACATCTTATTCACACACGTGCTGTGCTTTTAAACATAGATACAATTTGAATAGATGTTTTAAATGCTGATAGCTCATGAATTTTTGTTTCTACAGACTGTTTGCTTTGTTTGTGTGCGTACCTTATGTTTTAAACAATTTCAAAGTAATGCTATTTAAATGTTGTTGGTGTGGGATCATAACTTAGCATCTGGTAAATAAAGCAATACTATAATTTTAAGAGTCTGTTCCAATAAGATTTGATGTTTGGCAGAATGAAACATCTGTATGTACTTCCTGCTTAAATATAAATATTATCTGGTGTTTTTAGCCTTTCTTCTTTACCAATGCTATTGTCATTATTCATATTACGTTCTGTTTGTTGCCAGATTGAAATGCAGCCTGCCAACACCAATTAATGTGTTTTTTCTGTCTTTATTGATATATTGGAAAGTCTTTACTCAGATGAACCATTTACTATTTCCTCACTGTTGGCAAAATGCATAATGCTTAAAGTCATTAATTGTACGCTAATGTAAAGTCAAGACTAAATAAAATACTCTGATGAGATCGTTGCTTTTCATATTTTATTTACCTGCAGAGAATAAGCAAACAGTTCATGTTCCTGTATGAGCAATGCTGAAAAAACAAACTAACAGCTGTGATAATTATAGTATTCTTTGATCAAACTAGTGACAGTTTATATCACAAAAAATATACAGATGTAGGTGCAGATACTGATAACCAACATTACAGTTATTAGTCAAATCCCATAATGGAGCATGACAGAGGGACTTAACCTAGGTCATAGATTTTCTAACCGAGCATTCAGAACTTAAATATTTCTAAAAGAGATGTAGTTTCAAGTATTCACATTTAAAGTTTAGTAAAAATTAGAACAAATGCAGTAGGAAGGCCAACATTTTAGTCACAGACACAGTGAGATTCATAAAGCTTTAGTAAAACATATTACAATTTTTGTTCATAGCTGACACATTCTCTAGCTGCTTCTTACAACTATAACTAACTGGATACAGTAAATGTTTGATGCTACCAAGGACTTTTGACAACCACTTGATGTTCTGAAGATTTTTTTTGCCACTCCTTACAACAGAAAAGCTTTTCAATGATTGAAAGCTGTAGGAAAAGTTTTACGTTCCTTGTATCAGTCTTGATTTGTTTGTATAGCATACATTTATCTTTTTTTTACTAAATGTTGAAAAATTATTACAATGCATAAATATAAAGGTTTTTATACATTAGATGTGACATATATGTCAGAATAAAAGAAGTAAAGTTATGTTTTTAGATCTAGTAAACATTTTCTGTCTTTCCCCAGAGTGAAGACTCTGATGAAGACGACCTGTTTGCAATCAGTGATAAATGGACATTTGAGTGGAGCAGCCGGCGTTGGTCCAGGTTACAGGACATCGACTCTCTGCTTCGGAAGCACAGAGAGGGCCAGACTTCCAAGAACAGCCTCCCCTTGAGAACCACCACCAGCAGTGAAAGTGTTCTGACGGACCTCAGTGAACCGGAGGTTTCTTCTTTGCACAGTGAAAGCAGTGCAGGAAGTGGTCATAGGGGTCTCAGTACAGAGGACTCTGACTGCTCTAACCGCATTTTCTCAGATTCTGCTGCAATGCCAGACTGTACTTCTCTCACAATGCCTCACATATCCAAAGAATTTTCTCACTATGGCTCCTTACCTGATAAACATATAAAGACAAGCCGGATTCGTGCCAAAGACTTCCTTAAGCGCATGGAGTTGCTGAGATCTCGAGGAACCCTGGGAGGGGGCCGCAAGACATTGATCATCAGTGCTCCCGTAATGCAGCAGGAGGCCCAGGCACTGAAGAGACTGCAATGCGTTGAGATCATAAATGGAGACGATGGGGCTCCAGAACCACCTTTCAGCAAAGTTCTACATCCCCAGTCTAGTAGTGAAGGTAGCAGCCATTCTAGTGACAGCACAGTCAGCACACCCAGTCTGAAAGAACGCAAGACTCATCGAGCTGACCACAAGCGCAGTGGCATGTATTTGGAGGACATAGATATTTTCTCAGGCGTCCAAGTTGCAGAACAAAACCGCAGAAATGAATTTTGCTCCTATGAAGAGTTGGTGGTCCACATTCCCAAAGACCATAAACCAGGAACTTTTCCCAAAGCACTGTCCATTGAAAGCCTGTCTCCAGCCAATGGAGCCTCCATTAACTGGCACACTGGCAGCGTGCACTTGGACTCCCCACTAATTTCATGCAGACAGGAATCCAGAGCTGTCACCCAGTGCTGCTCCAGAGGTAGTCGTATCAGTGTGTACGATAATGTTCCTGGATCACATCTCTATGCTAGTACTGGAGACTTAATTGACTTAGAGAAAGAGGACCTATTTCCTCACCTGGATGACATACTGCTGCATGTCAACGGTCTTCAGCAGATTGTAGACCACTGGTCAAAAAACATTTTACCTGGAAGAGAGGGGGTAGTCGGCAACAAAGAGGAGACTGTAGGCTTTCAGTCCTCCAGTCAGATCACATTGGACTTTGAGGGAAGTTCAGGCACAGAAAGCCAAACTACACCTGTTGATGGAGACAGAGACAAAGTGTCACTAGCTGAGACAGAATCAACAAAGTTCAGGGAAAGGAGGGACTCTGGCGTTGGTGCTTCTCTCACAAGACCCAATAGGTAGGAATCCTGGAGGTAAACATAATAAAATCAGCCTACACAATCTTTATAGTTAAAATATACAAATAAACACTATTTCTTTGCATTTTATCTTTCACTGCATTAGATTACGATGGCCCAGCTTTCAGATATCCAATCGCTTAAGTCACTCAGTGGCATCTCTGCAGATTACAAACCAAACAGCAGGCCAGCTGAGTTTGCTACAGAAGTTTTCTCTGCTGCGTCTTACTGCAATTATGGAAAAGTACTCCATGTCAAACAAGCATGGCTGGACTTGGTAAGTTCACTTTTTGATACATTAACGACTTATAGAATCTGTGTAATTTAGATGCCCCCGTTTTAGAAAAAAAAAGTATTTTTGCAAGACCCCCCCCCCCACACACACACACCTTCATGTATTACAATTATTACACAAGCATTGTTGCTTGAAGCCTTTATTCAACGTTGTGTGCTTAAGCTGTTATGAATACCCATGATCATTTTTATTACTATTTGACATTAACTCCATTGTATCCATTGTCCATTGTATACTTGTGTGTTTTTAAAGATGGTGTATTGATCATTCTTTAAGGTCTGTGCCAAAATTCATGAAGAGAATGAAGGTACCAGATTACAAGGACAAGAATGTGTTTGGAGTGCCGCTCATAGTGCACGTGCATCGTTCTGGACAGCCTTTGCCCCTCGGCCTGCAGCAGGCCTTGCGGTACCTGAGGAGCCAGTGTCTTGACCAGGTCAGGAACAGCATAACTATAAAGAGTGCTATATTTCATAATCTATGCTAACAAATGTAAACATTTTTTAAAATATAATGTATACTTTTCTTGCATTGATTTTCCTTAGCTCTGCACAATATTTTTACAGTAGTCCCTCTTTTATCGTGGGGGATCCATACCCTGAAGCCTCGTGATAAGTAAAAAACTGCGAAGTAAGGAATAGTAGCACACACACATATATATACATATATATATATATATATATATATATATATATATATATATATATAAATATATAGCATTTTAAACCCTTCCCACACTCGCTATATTATAAACAATGTTTCTAAACTAAACACTCTAAAAGAGTCTAAAACATGTTATGATTTCAGCTCTCTGCCTCTGCTGCACTCTGCCACCTGCCAATGCTCTTGGCCACGCCCACTTATCTGCTGCAGAGCGGCGATATGACACGCTGCATCAAGAAGCTTCTCCTGCAGCTTGGGCTGCACAGTAGTGCTAAATAATCCATTCATCCGTCCATTTTCTTTTACCCGCTTCTTCCATTTTGGGTCACGGGGGTCGCCGGTGCCCATGTTCAGCAATCAATGTGTGAAGGGCGGGGTACACCCTGGACATGTCGCAAGTCCATCACAGAGCCACATGGAGACAAACAACCATTCACTCTCTCACTCACACCTAGGGACAATTTAGAGTTACCAATCAGCCTAACATGCATGTTTTTTGGTCTGTGGGAGGAAACCGGAGTACTCAGAGAAAACCCACGCATGCACAGAGAGAACATGCAAACTCCACCCAGAAAGGCCCCCGAACCGGGATTTGAACCAGGGACCTGCTCGCTGAGAGGCAGCAGCTCTACCAGTTGCGCTACCCTGCTGCCCCAGTGCTAATTAATATAAAATTATTTATTTTAAATAAAAATTCCATACCGACCATGCAGCTCATCCATCAGTTAGACCATTTTGTGTCATGTCCAATCTTACTTTGAAAAGCCGCGATAGAGCGAGTCTGCAAAAAATGAACCGCGAAGTAGCGAGGGACTACTGTAATATGAAATTAGTGCTCGATACATTTAAAGTTCTCAGCTTATAAGTTAACATTAAAACTTCTGTTTTGCTTCCAGGTGGGCTTGTTTCGTAAATCAGGGGTGAAGTCCCGAATTCAGGCTCTGAGGCAGATGAATGAAAATTCTCCAAACAATGTGAACTATGAGGATCAGTCTGCCTATGACGTGGCAGACATGGTGAAGCAGTTCTTCAGGGATTTACCTGAGCCCCTGCTCACCGGCAAGTTGGGGGAGACTTTCCTCCAAATATACCAGTGTAAGTACATAAACCTGTCTTAGCTTAGGGATATGATTGTTTTCCTGTTCTCTATTGTCACGTCTGCTGGGCAGAAATGATAAAATCCTTTGTTGTGCATGTGCAGATGTGCCAAAGGACCAAAGGTTACAAGCTGTTCAGGCAGCCATCATGCTGATGCCAGATGAAAGCCGGGAGGTGCTGCAGACACTCCTCTGTTTTCTCAGTGATGTCACTTCCTCTGTGGAGGAAAATCAGATGACACCCATGAACATTGCTGTGTGCCTGGCCCCCTCCCTCTTCCATCTCAACATAATGAAGAAGGACAATCTCTCACCAAAGTACTTTTTCTTTTCCTCTTAAGTAACATTTATAGTGATGCATGTTATTTTTGGCTTTAAAATGTACACAATTTGCCTGCCATCTGTTGACTCCTGTGTGATTATCTTCACTGTGACTCCATAAAGGAAGGCATCAAATGAGTTTCAGATTTTGCTCAGCCCTCAGGGGTGCTTTGAATTTCTCTCTGTTCCTGATATAAAAGGATCTGACTCTTTTTTATGCTTAACGTTTTATGAGATCATGCTGTGTATAAAACAAAGCAAAGCTAGCCCCTTAATTTCCCAAGGTAAAATTTTAACAAAGCAGATCAAAAGAGTTTCCTACTGGGTGGAAGAGGGGTTTATATACTTAGTTTATTGGAGATGTTGACCTGAAAACTCTGGTCTAAACACTTTTCTCTCCTTATCGTCTCCAGAGCCATGCATAAGAAGTATACCACAGGCAGACCAGACCAGAAAGATCTGAATGAAAATTTGGCAGCAACGCAGGGCCTTGCTCATATGATCATAGAGTGCAACCGTCTCTTTGAGGTAGAGCCTGGAACTGATATGTTGCAAGTATTTAATGCCTGAGTGTAATACTGGCTCTTAATTATATTTGTATTGAGTTATGCATGATATTCTCTCCACCCATTAGATCCCTCATGAAATGGTTACTCAGTCGCGCAACTCCTATGTGGAAGCTGACCTGCAAGCGCCAACAATTGATGAGTTGTGCAAGCAGCTGGAGGATGACAATGGATCATACCAAACCCATATGGAGGGGAGACTTCAGAGTTTGCTGAAAGAGGCACGAGAAAAGTCTAAATACTGGGTATCATGCAGCAGCTCGGATAACACAGAGCTCTTCTATAAAAAGGTTGGCATCTTTGTTTCATTATTATTAATATTATTATGTTAAGAGGAACCTCACAGCGTTGTGGTTTGTTTTAATGTATCATCCAGGTGGGAGATGGAAACCCTTTGAGACGTTGGCGAGTGTCTGTGGAGGTGGAAGCACCACCCTCTGTTGTGTTGAACCGGGTGCTGAGAGAGCGCCACCTGTGGGACATGGACCTGCTTCAGTGGAAAGTGTGCGAGACTCTGGACAAACAGACCGAGGTGTTTCAGTATGTCCTCAGTCGCATGCCTCCTCATCCCAGCAGGGACTTTGTAGTTCTCAGGTTGGTAGTAACTAAAAGAAAACAAAACGAGCCATTCTTTGTATCTAAGTCATCATGATACTGTTTTTTTAATCAAATATGCAATTTCTTATTTTTTCCCTAAGGTCTTGGAGAACAGACTTGCCCAAAGGTGCTTGCTCACTGGTTTCAGTATCCATAGAGCACGAGGAGTGTTCTCTTATAGGAGGTGTACGAGCTATAGTCCTGGAGTCCAACTACCTTCTTGAACCTTGTGGCTCTGGAAAGTCCAGACTAACTCACATCTGCAGAGTGGACTTAAAGTAAGTCCACCCTCCAAAAAAGAACAAGTGGTTGGATTTCAGAAATGTATGTGGGTAGCTGTAGCTGAGTGGTTAGAGTGGTTGTCCTCCAGTGGGAGAGTTGGGGTTTGATTCTACCAGCAGCCTCATGTTGAAGTGTCCCCGGGCAAGACACTGAACCCCTCACTGCTTCTGATGTGTGTCCCATCGGTGTATGAATGTGATCTAAAGCACTGATACAGATTCAAATGAGCTTTGTAGAGATCTAGTAGAGTGCTGTATGAATAGATAAATGAGAGCACAGATTGTGTGGTAAAGCACTTTGAGTATCTTGATTAGATAGAAAATGACTATATAAGTACAGTCTGTTTACCATATGTGCAGTAAATTCAACATCTTATTGAAAAATAATGTTTCATTTCTCAGGGGAAGGACGTCAGATTGGTACAACAAAGCCTTTGGTCATCTTTGCGCTGCAGAAGCTGCTCGGATCCGTAACTCCTTTCAGCCACTAATCACAGATGGACCAGAAACCAAAATCTGAAATGTTTTGTTCTGTCTGTTAAGCTCTGACATCAAGATTGAGCCTTTGGGTCACTGCTAACAGGCAGACACATAAACACAGACAATGCCCCAGAACTAAAGCACAGTTTTTGTTTTGTTTTGTTTGTTTTTTTATGTACAAATGCTCTGAAAATAATTTCAAGCCTCTGTACTTGCACAATGACAAAGGAGGACATTTTAGAGGTGCTGAGTATAATTATTCAATAATAATTTAATTATTCTTCCAGTGTCCTTGACATTATGTTATTTACTTTCTTGATGTTGCTGAACTTGTAAGATTAATTATCTTTAATATTGCATGTATATTATTGTTGTGTTCATTTACAATGTCTAGGACATTAAAACTGTTAAATGCTTCTGAGAAGCCTGTATGTTATGCAGTTCAGAATTAAAGCTATACTTATTATAATGTTCACCCATGTGTCTGTATATATGTGTATGAATATACTGTAAATTCAAATAAATTGTATATATTGCACATATGACCGAGGGTAAAAAGTATATATATATGTTAATTTCTTAAATATTGGTCAACATTCTTTTAGTACACACAGTACAAGATTGTAAGCTGGTTTTACTTTGCCTCAGTATTGAAATAGGTGTAATTTTCTAAAACCCTCACCTATACTGTTTGTGGGAAAATGACTTAAGGTTTGATTTGATCATACCTGCTTTATGGTACTGTATTACACAGTAAGGTACCTGAGACATTTTTTAAAATAAAACTAATTCTAAAGTTTGTGTGGACTGACATTTCATCTTCATATTAAGAAAGTACTGCAGTTTTCTTGAGGACATGACAGTTGTTATAAAATAACTTTAACACTTGAGCCACCTAGGAATGTGTCTTTGTTTTACTCACATTTAACTGTAAAACCAGACATTGTGAAGTTTCAGATAGCATGACAATGATTTATCAGATAACAAATTATGATAAAAGCTTGTACTGAAAGTAAATCTCAAGCCTAACTTTAAAAGAGAAAGTCAACAAACAAGCAATTATTTCCAGCAGATAAAACAAGGATGCTAATAAACAAACAACCTAAATATCTTTGAGAAAAGCATTATTCCTATTATTTGCACAGTGGTGACCTCCCACAGCCTCTGTCTGTTTATTAATTATTAAGCACATCTTAATTTGGTCCAGTGTAGCACAATGCTTTATATTTTCACATATTCATTTCTCATGCCCTGGAGTTAGAAGGACCTCTACTGGACATATTTCAGAAATGTTTGATGCATGCAGTTCACGTAGAACACCCTTTTCTGAAATTTGGTTTATATTCAAACATAAAAGTCATTCAGAATGGTTTCACAAGTATTGTCTAATTCATCCTTGGATTCTAAAGTGGAAGCGTATGTTCCCACTATAATGAGGCGAACAATACCTTTATCAGTAGCTGAAGGCTCTTAAATCTGTTTTAGCCTAGTTTTATGGTACACTGGTATCTTGATTCATTATTTCCATTTGGAATTTATAATTTTAAACATCCTATGTAAAATAAAAAAAACAACAACTAATAATTGAAGATTTGTGAACAGAATATTACAAACCGATCAATTTCCCAGCAATATGAAAAATATATATATGACATTTTCATTAAAAAAACACTGTTTACTCTTTAGTTGATATGAATTCAGAAGTGACCGTTTAACATAACAAGCTTTAAATGTTCTCCATCCATTCATCCATTATCTTTACCTGCTTCTTCCTTTTCGGGTCGCGGCTCATGGGGGGTCACTTGTGCCCACATCCAGCAGTCACTGTGCATGAGGTGAAGTACACCTTGGACAGGTCGCAAGTCCATCACTGGTCCACATAGAGACACACGAGACAAACAATCTTTCACGCTCACTCACACCTACATGTAGGGACAATTTAGTTACCAGTTAACCTAACATCAATCAATCAACATTTATTTATACAGGTAAATCCCATTGAGCCTCGAGGACTCATTTACAACATGTTTTTGGTCTGTGGGTGGAAACCGGAGTATCCACGCATGCACGAAGAGAACATGCAAACTCCACCCAGAAAGGTCCTCAGCAAGGATTCAATCCAGCAACCTTCTCGCTGCGAGGCAGTGGCTCTACCAACTGTGCCACTGTGCCGCCACCCAATAAATCATGAAATATTCTTAAATTAAATCAAATAAGGCATTTGCAGTATGAGAAGCTACTTAAAGAACAGGAAACAATTTGTGAAGATGTGAGAAGTTTAGTCTAGATGTTTAGACATTGTGTGTGGTGTTCCACAAGTGTGTGTATTGAGTCCAAAGTCATTCATTCTTTACATTAATAACATTTGCAAAGTATCACAAATCCTAAAATGTATTCTGTCTGCAGAGGATTTAAACATTTTAGGTTCAAATGAGATTCTACAGCAACCTTGGGACCCTATTACATCACAACTCATCAAAACTACAAACTGCTCTGACAGAAATATGGTAGTACTTAACTTGAGCAAGAATAAACTCATGGTATTTACTAATAATAAACTAAAGCACCAAGATATACAGATAATAGGTGTTAATATAGACTGAGAACATGAAACTAAAATCCTTGAGATGATAAGAGAAGATAAAATTATCTGGAAATTGCACATTAAATACAGCTGTACTAAATTATCAAGAAGCATTTCAGTTATGGCCAAATTTTCTGCACACCAAGTCACTTTGCATTCTTTACAGTTCATTGGTTTTTATCTTATTTATTCTACTGCATTGAGCAATGCATATCACAACAGCCACTAGTCACACAGCAGAAAAGAGCTCTTAGAATATCTGTAGAGCACACAAATCCATCCATCCATCCATCCATCCATTATCTTTACCCGCTTATTCCATTTTGGGTCACGGGGGTCGCTGGTGCCCATGTCCAGCAATCACTGTGCAAGGGGCGGGGTACACCCTGGACGGGTCGCAAGTCCATCACCGGGCCACATAGAGTCAAACGAGACAAACAACCATTCACTCTCTTTCACACCTAGGGACAATTTAGAGTTACCAATCAGCCTAACATACATGTTTTTGGTCTGTGGGAGGAAACCGTAGTACCCGGAGAAAACCCACGCATGCACGGAGAGAACATGCAAACTCCACCCAGAAAGGCCCCCGGACCGAGGTTTGAACCAAGGACCTGCTCGCTGAGAGGCAGCAGCTCTACCAGTTGCGCCACCGTGCTGCCCCCCACAAATCCATTGTTGGTGAAATCTAAAATATCAAATCTCCATGACAATGTAAAACCTTAAGTGGCAACAATTTATCTGTAAAATTTAGAGAAGTTTAATGAAGTTTAAAAAAATTTAGTCAAATTTTTCATCATGTTTAATAAAAAAATCTTCTTCAGAAAGCCTCATAAAATGCACAATTAAGGTATGACAGTTGACAGTTCATGTCAGAGTGCAAACAAAAGGAATTGTCAAAGGAATTATCTGTAGACCTCTGAGACAGGATGCTCTTGAGGCACTAATCTGGGGAAGTATACAGAAAACTTTCAGCTGCTTTGAAGGTCCCAATGATCCCAGTCCCTCCATCATTCATAAATGGAAGAAGTTTGGAAGCACCAGGAATCTTCTTAGAGCTGGCCGGCATCTAAACTGAGCTCTGGAGGGAGAAGGGCCTTAGTCAGGGAGGTGACCACTCTGTCAGAGCTCCAACGATCCTCTGTGGAGAGAGGAGAAGGACAACCATCTCTGCAGCAAACCACTATGGTAGAGTGGCCAGACAAAAGCCACTCCTTAAGGCACATACCTGTTTGGAGTTTGCCAAAAGGAACCTGATGGACTCTCAGACCATGACAAACAAAATTCTCTGGTCTTACGAGACAAAGATTGAATTCTGGTGTGAATGCCAGGTGTCATGTTTGGAGGAAACCAGGCATCGCTCATCATCAGGCCAATAACATCCCTACAGTGGAGCATGGTGGTGCTAGCATCATGCTATGGGATGTTTTTTTAGCAGCAGGAACTGTCAGACTGGTCAGGAGAGGAAAAGATGAGTTCAGCAATGTAGAGACATCCTGGATGAAAACCTGCTCCAGAGCGCTTTTGACCTCAGACTGGAGCCGTTCATTTTTCAGCAATGACCCAAAGCACATGGTCAAGATCTCAAAGGAGTGGCTTCAGGACCACTCTGTGGATACACTCTGTGTGCAGGCTTATGTATGCATGCTAACCATTAAGAAACAATGCATAATTCAAATTCAATCACTTTAGACCCTGTTTTTCCTGATGAAATTGCAGGTGCCCTGTAAACACCGAGGTGACTTCTCAAAGCCTGAGTTGAGGTAATTAGTGAGGTTATTAAGAACACCTGCGCAAGTTTTGGCTGCTCTGCTTTAATGTCCAAGACTAAAACATAAACAAGGAACGTGTGAAGCAATAGTCTTTGGTTTTTAAATCTTATCTTTTCACCATCGGTGGGAACGAGTTGTTTCAGAGCTCCATGATCCCAGTGCAGGAGAGGAACCGCAGGCAGGGGGCGGAAACACGCGCTGACACCAGCTGTGGAGCGCAGACGCGCATCGCACACACACGCACGCACAAACACACACGCATCTTTGTGCAGGTCAGTCAGCTCCGTTAACTGGCTGTCACCAACAACACACCTGACTCACTCCCCGGAACTCCCCGGAGTGGATTCAACTGGCAGAGAAGGCTTCTGTTCGTGTTTTGCGTCTGTTTTATTTTTTATTTTGCTTTGCGAGTATTTTGCTGTTTTTTTTTTTTTTTTTAAACCTTCCTCTGAGAGATTAGCAAAGGCATCTGAACCCTGAGTGGGTTCGGGTACCAATGACAAGCGAGAACCCGGTGCCAGTCATCATCATGCCGGGCTCCCTGTCGCTCTCGGACCGTCATCCTGGTCCCGGGCTCCACGTCGCTGCGGCCAAAACCATCATGATGTCCGGCTCTGGCTCAGCGGTCCTCCCGGCTGGGATGATCAATCCTGCGGTTCCCATCCGGAATATCAAGACGAAATTCGCTGTTCTCATCGGACTCATCCAGGCTGGATCTGTCAGCAACCGGGATATTGTTGAAACGGTGCTCAATTTGGTAAGTGCACCTTTTATTCATCCAGGTCTGGAGTCATGTTCAAGGGCTGCAAAATGAGAGTGTTGATGCTCGCAGCATGCACTGTGCACATATTTAAACTCTGACTGTAATGCATGATTTGCAGTCCAAGTGCCTCAGGAGGAAACATGCATGAAAAGTGAGGCACGCGCTCATGCAAGGTGCAGGGGGCTGAGAGGATTTAACAGCAAAGCCATTTTTAAAGTTTTCACTTTAGTAAAGTCCCAACCTCCCTGTGTTGTAAAAAAAATAACAGTGAGTGTGTTTGAGTTTGTGTATGAGAACTTTACAAACCAAATCTGAAGCTTCTCATTTGATATTTTCATTAATTGTAGCTCATCAGCAAAGTGATGGAGACCATTACTTTTGTTTTAGAACCTGTAAAATAAACCAGTTTCTTCTTTTAGTGCAGTGTGGCACAAAATACCAAGTAGTACCTTTTTAAGCTTCGGCCAGCTGCAGAACCACAGTTTGGAGTTGGCCTCTCCTTGTTAGTGCACTGGAGATTAATTACAACCTGTTCTAGCTCAACAGAGACCCACTTTGTGGAGCAGAACAAATTGTAGCCCTTGGCATGTTCAGACATGAGAGCATTACTGCAGTAGGTGGAGTCATTGACACTTTGCAGAGCTGTTTTTACAGAAATATGCACAAGAAATGCCACTCTGCAGTCTTAAACAGTCCCCCCACAGTGCAAGTGGTTCACATTTGCGTTATCACGCTTCCAGTTTGCTTTGTTCACCTCTGAATTCTGGGTTTTTATTTATTGCTCCAGCTTGGAATAAAACATCTTCTCTATGTGCTTTTTAAATGTAACCAGACATTTTTACGTGATATACAGGTCTCAAACTTTTAAATGACCGATTTAATCAACAAATGCTCTTTACACATTAATGTGGTTCTTTTACTGAAAACTAACCAATCTGATTCTCTGCAACAACATTATTTTAACCTCAAGTCACTTAATGCAAATGTAACTTTATTCTGCAGCAATGTTGGGACCAGATCACACAGAAATTGTTATTCTGTCTGTTCCATCATCCAAATGAAATCTCAGATACTCTTAGCTAAGTGAAATGTATAAAATGGCACAGAAGAACTGTTTAATGTCAGTTTCCCTTTTTTGTTCCTTGCAGGTTTATGACATTATATCAAGTTTGTAAATCTGATCATTCTGAGGGATATTGTGGTTTAATGCTTCCTGTCATCACATGATGAAACAGGTCTGAGGATTTCAGGCTCGAACACTAAAGCATTTCTTTTTCTCTGGGTTTTCCCCCACACATCCCATAACAGCCACCTCCACGCAGGTGGAGCAGGTGGACTCTTTTAAGTACCTTGGCGCAGAGATGGACGCAGACATGTCTTTCTCACATGCAGCACACTGGCTCAATTTATAACAAGGCTCAGCGACGTCTGTTCATGCTGAGTAAACTAAAGACCTTTCATGTGAGCAGGAGCACACTGACCTTGATTTGAAAGTCCCTGATTGAGTCCATTTTAACTTTTCATATTTCATCCCGGTTCAACCTCATTAACGTAAACCAGAAACCAAAATTACACAGAATAATTAAACAATCAAGTGCAACAAGTGGCTCACCTCAGCCCCCGCTGTCGGACTTTACAGCCGCTCAGTGATCACCGAGGACCCCTCACATCCACCACACGACTGTTTCTGGAAGCTTCCATCAAACAGGCGCTACAGGAAGAATATTTATAGAGAATCATTTGTACCATCAGCAGGAATGTTCTTAAGCAAAGCTAAGTAGACTCATCTTAATGGTGATAATGTGGTTTTTATTATGTTTTATTTAGTTATTTAAATGTTTCAATTGTTCTTGTGTGTGTATGATAAATACAGAGCATGTCAAAGGAGATTTTTTTTTTCCACAGTTGTGGTAGATAATAAAATTGATCTTTTCTTTTTTTGTAATTCTCAGCTGCCTCACAGTTTCCTGCAGCATGACTAAAGAGTAGCTGATAGTTGTCACTAAAATAATTATTGAACAAGTCGTTGATTGAAATTGAGTCAGGGTGCCTGAGTCTTGAAAGGCAAGTTATTTTTGTTAATAAGTTGAACTTAGTTCATAAATAAGATTACAAACTTTTTTTTTAATTTGGGGAAGTCTTTTTTTTCTGCACAATTTTATCTTTATAAGGAGAAACAAACTTAAAAGCGGTACGTGGGTAGGTTTAGTTAATTTATTTTTTATTTTTGCTTGTTTCAGGCAAAACAGAGTGATGACAGATGCTGGCAAGTGGAGGGAGAAATTTTATCCACCACCAGGCATAATAGCAAAACTAAGTGACGGCCAATGGTGGATCTGGCTACCATATAGTCTTCTGCCACCCCTAGGACTGGGATCGCTTTTACACCTAGATGCAGCCACACACCAAATGGAAGTCGGCACATTGCTTATATTTCAAGTTATCCAAATCACAAGGTTTACATAAACACTAGTCCCTCGTTTATCGCTGGGGATCTGTACCCTGAAGCCCTGCGATAAGTGAAAAACCGCTAAGTAGGAACAGTAGTACAAATAGTAAGTAGTAGTTTATATTGGTATTGATATATTAAGGTGTTTTAAACCCTTCCCACACTCTTAACAGATTCAAAGATTCAAGGTTCTTTACTTGTAATTTCCACCACATGTGGTACATGTGGTGGAACGAAATTGTGTACACAGGGCCCCAGTTAAATCTAACAAAGTATTAAAAATGTAAAAGAAAAACTGTAATAAGATCTAAGAAAAATGTTAGCTAAAAATACACTAAGTACTAGCAGCATAAAAACAATATGCTGAACAGCAGCACGAACATGAGTCTGTGTGAGCAGATGAGTATGAATGAACACAGCAACATGAAATAGATCATCTTGCAATATTCTAACCGTTTCTAAACTCTAAGCGCTCTAAACCAACACAGAATGGTATGATTTCAGCTCTCTGTGGCTGCACTCTTGGCCACACCCACTTATCCGCTCTGCATGGAGATCAGCTGATCAGCTGCAGAAGGAAGCTTTTTCTGCAGCTGTGGGCTGCACAAAGGTGCAGCAGGTACTAAATAATTTTAAATTATTTATTTTAAATAAAAAGTCCATGCCGATCGTGTGGCTCATCCATCAATCAGCCAATTGTGTGTCATGTCCAGTCTTGCTTTGAAAAACCGTGATAGAGCAAGTCTGCAAAAAATGAACCGCGAAGTAGCGAGGGACTACTGTATACATTTAGTGGGGCAGTCATCTTGGACTTTGACATGACAACCTAAAAGGAACCTTTGTTATGCTTAGACGTAGCCACACACCTGATTAGAAGTGTCATGTTCACAACATGAACAGACGGACAGAGGGTATTTCCAGTCGCTTCTCTTCCCTCTGCAATGAGGGACCGTAAACAAGACTTTCAACAGCTGATAGATATTAATTGAAAAGCCATATTTTTTCTCCCCTTGAGATAAAACCTTGTCATGTTTTCATCTTTTAGTGTGTTTTGTTTGTAGTTTCTCAAAGCTTCATTAGGTTTTCTAAAGTTTAGGCCAACTAAATCTCCCAATATCAAATTCCTGTATGCAGATGTGAAAATTAAGTTAAAGTGGCTAACTCCCTGATTTGTGATCAGGTCTTCTTCTTTTGACTTTTCCTTCTTTAGGGGTGATTTGTCCCAATTATTTAGTGTTCTGTATATTAAAATTAACCTCAAATACATCAAAAATTGCTGTTGTAAAATAACATTTATTCTTTATACTCATTGTTTTCTAGATACTTCCTTTTTGTAATTTTTTATTGTAGGTTTTACAGGCCACAGGAGGAGTAATCTGGTAAAAATATGTACAGAATTTATGAAAAATCTATGATAAAAGCTTAGATATTTTCAAATAACGAGCAAATTAGTGACATTTTGTGCTAATTGTTGCTTATTTTTGTCAAAGAATTTGCCATTACTGCCTGCAAAGTGTGGCGACTTGCAAAGACTTGTGTGGAAACCATCTTTGAGACTTTTTTTGTTCCTTCTGTGTTTAAACGCAAGCAGCTTTAAATATGGATGTTGGGCACTTAGGAAACTTACAGTATCAACTTTTTTTATGCGATTGCTTAAAGAAGAGATTTAAGTGGTCACTAAAAGCTTCTTTAGCAGTCCTCTAAAATTCACAATGTCCCACATTATAAAAAACGTGCACATAATTGTAAATTAATTGAAAATAGCTGTATTTAATCAGCTTTTATGTTACCTGGAATCACTTTAGTTTATCATGTTTGAATATCCATTTATTAAATTATAGCTGATATTTTACATGGGGGTCCTCAAAAGAATTAATTCTCACCAGACTGAATGAACAACAAACAAATGACATGGAAACACCAGGAACTTGTTTGTTTGGCCCAGGCTGCTATCAGTTATGACTGGAATTCACTCAGCTCCATCTCTCTGCACTCTTGAGTCCGTTACACACTCTGATCAATATTGGATCAATATGTCCTGCTACAGTTTTACAAATATCCCTCAAGGTTTTCTTCCTTGTTACTTTGGAAAACTGCCAACTCAAGTCTTGCTTTTTATTTTTTTTAAATATAAATTTACTTTTACTGCAGAAGAGTCACAGCATGTGTACATGGTATCACTTTTCTATGTAATATTTTATGGTCACATTTTAATGCTGCTGCAGCTGTGGGGGAGAGGAACACGTTTTCAGGGTCGTGAACACTGCTGCAGAAATTGTGATCTTGTTGTGGCTTTGCTGAAAATGATGCCAACAAATAGGTCTACTATAATTTGAAAACATACGTTTGTGTATCAATGAGTATTATTTTGTATCTTCATTATGTTTAATAAGAAATTCAAATTTACCCAGACCATGCAATTGAGTTTGCATTGAGAACCATCATGAATTGACAACCCCAATTGAGTTGGGGCTGCTGCGGCTGCAAGAGCAGTCGTCCTCCAATGCAAGAGTTGGGGGTTTGATTCCACCAGCAGTCACATGCC